CAGACATCGAGCACAGAAAAACCCTTGCTCACGCACGTTCCATTTGTATCTCGTTTATCTGCACTCTATCGATCATAAATAGTTTAATTTATGAGAATGTCTCTCTTCCAACTTCCACTTACATGAATACATCCAACACCAAACAAGGATTGATCAAGAATAGCTGTGAACCAAAATAAAAATATAAATGTTTTCAAAGAAAGGTTCACCACAGCATGGGATGGATAAGACCTGAGTTCCTCACTCAGTAGTAGTGAAGTAGAGGACCCAAACACATGACAAAGTATGCACAGTAAAAGCTTGAAATCCAAATCTTTAATATAAGCTGCTCTGGAACAGGCAGAGCATTGAGAATGGGGCAAATTTTTCAAAATAAAACTGCATTTTCTTTCACAAAATTTCTGGAAATTCTGTTGAAATCTGTGCTAGATTGCATGACATTAAGCAGGCATACTCAAACACAATTCACTACTACAATCTATTGGCATACTGAACAATTTTCACTTGAGATCCATTTACAGTACAAACTTGTTCTGGTGCTATTCCCCTGTAACTTTCATAATAAGCAAATTAAGCTTCCTAATTCATTAAGAAACATTAAATACAGAATGGCAGTCACAGACCAACAATCACACAGCATTGCTGGAGTGTGTATGATTATTCAGACTGTAATGAATAAAATGTGAATCATTTAGCATTTTAAATGAACAAATTAAACAAATTGAACAAAGCAGGAGGGAAAGGAGGTTAAGATACAGTAGATATTATAGCAATTTCTTTCACTCAAATGAGAATGAATAAAGTAGTAAGAATACATTTAAAACATGGAGTGCATAATTTATAGCGGATGAGAAAAACATAAGCAGAAGCACGACGAAGCATGATTTTGCCCAAAACACAATCAGATTTATAAAATTTAGGAGGCAGTCTTTCCATGGCGTTTGAATAAATCGAAATTACAAAAAAAAAAAAAAAAATTCTAACAGTTATGTAACATCGCTGGCCCCCAATAACAGAGTGACTGCAGGCCACCTGACTGTCCTCCACAAACTAAAACACAATGTTTCATTCGCATCAGTCTGGGAAAAAAAAAGAAAAAAAAAGTCTTTCATCTTTCAGTCCATTTTCCACACTCTCAGAGCTCTGTGAAAGCTGTTGTCCACTGCCCTTCAGCCGAACCACAGCACAGCCTTCCTCTTAGGCTGATCGACAGATCAAAGCATTTCCTTCCTCGCTCAGTGTCGCAGAATTCTGGTGTGTACATAGGAGGTAATCTGTCCCCCTCTCTCTTTCCCTCCTCACTCTCTGTCACTAGCTACCTCACCGAAGCTGCTGGAGAGGAGAGTGTGACCTGTTTCATAACAGAAATCCATAAGCATGCACAAGATGACACAGGCACTGTCGAGCATCGGGTACAAGAAGCCAGTGTCTCTTCAGTAGCATTCAGACCTCTAACGCCTCCTCATATCTCAAGACAAAAGAGATCACTTGAGGAAAATATCTTTGTGCATGCTTTCCAATCAGGCACACCTATTAACAGATTAAAAACTCACCACATTTTTCTTCTTTTTAGCTATGCTAATGGCATGGCTGTGAGGACACGGATGCCAGTCTGTCCACCACTTTGGTACATACTAAAATGTCTTAACAGTTGTTGCACTGACTCCCAAGAAACACACTGCAAACATCTATTGTTTGTTAAGGATAACTGTAACTGATTTCTGGTGCTATGAGTTTGAAATTTGTAGGTTTTTATCACAACGTGATTCTCCAAAAACCACGAATGAGTTCATAAGTCATAAGGAATGAATAACATGAAAATAACATATGACCTTTAAGCATTACAGCTTTCGCCATAGTTACACATTATCAGCTCCACTTAGGTATCACTGCCAATGGATTCTTTTGTTTTTTATTTTGGATATTGTACAGGTTTTGTATTGTGGTTCCTTGCAACATTTGTCATCACTCTTTTGTCCTTCTGTTATCACCACGTCACCTTTTAATTTGGCCAGTCCTTTGGAAGGCATTCCTAGTTAAAGGGAACAATGTAAAGCACTAGCAGAGTGACAGGTTTTGCCAAGAAGAAATAATTAAGTTAGAGAAAGATCCTTTTCTTGGTTTTAATAAATTGGGCCGTGGGGAATTGTTTTACTGTCAACCAAGCTCACACTTGTTATTAGTTAACAAGTGTGAGCTTAAAGTTAAAGTCCAGAACTTTCGCTGCTTGTGGCATTTCATATTCTTCCATCACGCTGATGCTGTATGCAAGGAAGGATAAAAACAATAAATAATTATGTGTATTACAAAAAGTGTGTGAGTTTGCTAGATGTTTAAGTAAGCTTGATATTTATACCTGGCTCTTAAAAGGCCCCTGGAAGTTTCATTTAATGAATTTAATGTTTTAATGAAGTCAAAATAGACTGGCTGGCATCTGGGATGGTTTGGAAATAGTAAAAGGAAAAGTGGGGGATTTTTATAATTCAGAAAGATGTGTGGGGGAGTGTATAAGAGTTGGAGAAAGAGTTAAAAATAAGCATATTTAAAGTTACTTTTTCCAATGACTCAGACTTTAGTTTAGATGTATTGCCATTTGCCTATAAGTTTCTGAAAACCATAAAGGATCAGCATCACTTGATTTAAGGTAAGGGTGGGTCTGCAGGAAAATAAGAACAGTTAGTGCACCTATCCCAGGGGTGAGCAACTCCAGGCCTCGAGGGCCGGTGTCCTGCAGGTTTTAGGTGTGTCCTTGATCCAACACACATGATTTTAATGGCTAAATTTCCTCCTCAACATGTCTTGAAGTTCTCCAGAGGCCTGGTAATGAACTAATCATTTGATTCAGGTGTGTTGACTCAGGGTGAGATCTAAAACCTACAGGACACCGGCACTCGAGGCCTGGAGTTGCTCACCCCTGGGCTAGCCTAACTACTAGCATCATTTCCAGCATGTAGGAACATAAAGGCAGGCCATATGGTTGATTCCAACTCCAGGTTACCGTGTCTGATTTGCTGTAACTTAAAATGTATAAGCAAAGTCTCCTTCCTTCATGTTGCTATAAATTAACAATAAACAGATTTTAGTGGGAGAAAGTATTAAATCCCACTCACGGTTACAAATCTGCATCTCGCTGCTTAACTTTCCCTTATTCTGGCATGGCACATGATACAAGATCAGCACAAAATGCACAAAAGATAACCTTAAAAACAGACAAGCAAACAAACAAAAAAAAGAAAAGCTGTATGAAGAGACACACATGGGATCCATGCAACCGTGTGCATGTGCAAGTAGAGAGATGGAAATGGGGCGCTTTTATTAAATTCTTTTAAATTCTCACTTCCTCATGCATGAGGTTATGTGCAGGTGAAAGGCTGATAAATATTGGATGTGAATCAACTCTGTTTCCCATATACTGGAGGCGAGGTGGATTCTTCTATTAGTCAAAATAAATAAATAAGCTCTGAAATTGAGTGTTTGTGCTTATGTGAGTGAAGAAGGAGGGGAGCATGTGTGGTGTGTGTGTGTGTGTGTGTGTGTGGGGGGGGGCTACCAGTTGAGTCAGACATGTAACAGTTTGTGCAGTCCCTTTGTAGATGCAAAGGGGGGAAAGAAAAAGAGTGGCAGCCCTGCGGTGGGCACACAGGGTCTCACAGTGGAACACCTGCTCAGGATCTCCTCTGGGTCCATTTTCTAATCGTGCAGGAGGATCACATTCTCATCTTCGTTTTAGGGAAGCACACAGACACAAAAACACACTGCGCTAAAAGCAACATCGCTAAAAGCATGGTTGTGTAATGTAAAGAAGGCACACACACCCTGAGAGAATGACGTAACAACACATCAGCCCACATCTGTGAACGCTCTAGTCTGAACAAGTCAAGGTCATTCACGGACTGAATTAAAAACACTGGGCCCTGCTGTGAGGCACCCTCTGAAGCAGAGAGCTGCTTTGTATTCCGAGCTCATGTGGGACTGTAGCGTCCTGTCTGCGCTTGATGCCTGGACACATGAAACACACAGGCACACGTGCTTTCCAGCGAACTGCAGCCTCGCAGATGTGAGGAAGAAGGCAGCATCGTTGATACAGCCTCCTTACTCCCTCTGCGTAGTGCTGCAACAGCTGGATGCGGTTCTGGCTGTTTAAAACACGCACGGCTCTCAGACTGAGTCCCTAATAGGTTTTAACGGGCTGGACTCGTGCCAAACAGTCTGAGTCTTGTTTTTCCAGCCTGCAAAAATTAACGGACGTTTCCCGTGCTGCCCTCTGTGATTGACCCAATGACTGGTCGTGATAGGTGATTAGTGCAACGACTGAATCGATTGCCGTGACTGATTAATCGACAGCTGGCTCATTTGCCCACCCCGGAGTGAAGGCTGCCGTCTCATCGCTGTACTGTTTTCTCGATTCTCTGCGGCCAGACAGAAAAGCAGCTTTTGGTTAAACTGAAATAACAATCAAATAGCAGGATTTTTTTTTTTTTAAATAGCGGCTAATAAGAGGTGGCAAACTGGGAAAATGTATCAGGGACACTCTGAGTCACGGCAGTCCCATTTTGCCTCTGCATGACTTTGGTTATACAATGATGCTTCATTCACAACATCCAGAAACACTCCGACGCGCCAGGAGCAAACATCTTGCAGCAGGTTTACATTACATAAAACACAGATATGGGGAAATTGCATGAAGCCATCCTAATCACGTAATCAATTTCTGATAACAGGTTCAGTTTTGGGAGATCTTTAATCGATATTTGCCCCAGTGCACGTTCCGAGCTAGACGCGGGACAATCAGCAACCACCAAAAGCGCAAAGAGCCTCTCTGCGCATTACAAGGCAGACTGGCTATATCCAGGATAGCGCAGTGGTAATCCATCAAAACGCAAAACTGTCACACCTGGGAACTTCGTGTCGCTCGCACCTGAAGGCTAAAACACCTGCCAAGACTTCCTAAGGGTACTATAACACTGAGATATAAGCCGAGAGCTCCGAGTGTCACTCACCTAACTTTTGCTGCCACAGAAGAAATCGCATCGTTTCTTAAATTCTTCCTCTTGGACACAGCAGTTCCCATGCTGGCATGGAAACGATGCAGGCAGGAAAACAGTTCATTCCAAAGGAAGGAGGAATGCGACGATGAAAACAGTATAAAAATCGCAAGAAAAAATAAAAAAGTTGCAGGGAAATCCGGGAGCAGATAGGTCACGCACGCGTCTGCAGAGCAAAAAAGAAGGAAGTCAGTCTTCTCTCTCTCTCTTTCTCTCTCTTACTCTGTCTGTCTCTCTCCGGATATGAGCATGTACGTGGGGTAGCTGCACAGCTGCCAGAGTGAGGCTGAAAATCCCCCCCCCCCCTCTCTCTCTCTCTCTCTCCCTCCCCCTTTCTCTCTCTCTGTCTCTCATTGATCAAAAAAATGCAATGGGAGGATTGTTGGGTTGGCGATATCACCATCGTCCTCATCGTGCTCGCAAAGGTGGAGGCGGGGAGCCGTGTATCTGCAACAGTGGTGTCATCCACCTCCACCTCTGCCATTCATCTAATGCTCCTTTTTGGGGACTGTGATCTCTGTATCTTTACTTATTTATTTCCTGGTGTTACATAAACGGTCATTTTGGTGAAAGCCCCATCCACCCCCTCTAACACACACATACACAAACGCTGTAACTGGCTCTTACTCAACCAAAGACAGGATGAGGCACTGCAGCGCTCTGTAAATATTTCTTCAATTAATAATACCACTGGAGCTTTAGCGTGTGCTTTGTTCTATTTCTTCTTATTCTGTTTTTACATTTAGATGATTTTGAAATTCAGCAGTTGAATTGTGTTGACCATTGGACTCGTATATACCCCAAATACTTTATATATCCCATTTTCGGGAAATTCTTTTGTTACACCAGTTGAAATAATAATGATAGTAAAAATAATAATGATAATATTATCTGCTCCCACGGCAGACAACAGCAAAGTACACTTCACTTGCCACAAGTACTGAATTCCTGGGTGACTGAAAATCTCCATCGTTTACTGTAGACATTGATGGATGTCAGCTTGCTTTTTTTTGCATACACTTCACTTACTGTGTTGGTCTTCCAGTTCAACGTGGATGCCATACTACCTCACCATATCAACATGCTTTCCCAGGATAGCCGTCGTCTTCCTTCTGAAGACGATCACCATGTCTCTGGTCTCGTCTCTGGTCTCATTCACATTCAGAAGCAGATGATTCCTTCCAGACCACCATCCATCACTAATACATCTAATCTAATACTGCAGAATATTATCATATTTCTGACCTGGAGTTACACAGAAAGTCTGAGGTGTACAGGGTGTAGCTTCTCTCATGATGAATGGAAATATTAGATATAGAATGTATAGATTTGATAATATACCAGCAATTAATAATCTTACTTTGTTCATATATACTATTGGCCTTTTTGTTATGGTTATGGGTCAGATTGACCCAGCATTTTGAGTTTTTTATGTCTTGGTTTATTTTTGAATGATGGATTGTTCTTTATGTTTCTCTGGTGCTTTGTTGAGTTTTATGACAAATCTGTGTTTCAGTTATTTTGGTGTGTTTTTGCATTATGGATTGTTTTCTTATTCTCTTGTAGGGCTTGTGGTGATGATGATGATAGATTATTATTAGTTTCTTGTTTCTGTTTATCCGTGTTTAAGGATTTGTTGTTGCATGTATTGTTTGAGTTGCATGTGTTATATTCTGTCTGCCTCTCTGTCTGCGTCTTTGTTTAGTGGTTTCTTGTTTCCTGTTTTATTGTGAAGGTCTGTGTCTCATGTGAGTGTGTTCAGTTCTACTGCTCCCCTGTCTCGTTAGTCCAATTTCTCCCAGCTGTGTCTCCCTCCTGTTTCTCATTCCCCGATTACCTCCCTGTGTATATTAGCCCTGTGTGTTCCTGTGCTCTCTGTTGTGTTGTACCATCAGATTGTGCCTGTGTGTTTCTGGTTCTCAGTGTTTGTTGGTCTGTTCATGTTTTGTGCTTTGCCAGCAATAAAGCTGTGGTTTTCTGTTGAAATTTGGCTTCATGAGTCGTGCGTTTGGATCCTCACCTCCGCCTGCCACACACAGAGCCCTGACACTTTTTGTCCATCTTTAAGAACTGTCTAAAAACACAATATTCTACGATTAAATGTTAACCTGTGATATAATGACATGGCAATGAAGTCAAGGTTTAAGATGCAAAGAGAGAGAAACATACAAAAATCTGTGTCTCACTGATATGCAGATCAACTGAAAATAGACTTGAACTTAGTCTAATTTGTAAAGCACATAGACATAGAGTAAGGGTCTCTGGACAACAACCTCTGTGGAAAACAATTGCACAATCCTGATTCCTTTATGTGAGATGATTGTAGGATGGCAACAGTTCAGTGCAACATAAATAGGATGACAAACAATATAAGACCAACAAGCTGGCATCTCCTGAATGCAATTCTTTTCACAGTAGGTTGCAATATTATATGGGAACCAGGAAATATTTAACAGAGTAGAAAATACCTATCTCACACTATGGCACTGTGAGTATTTCTTACAGCAGTTTGTCACAGTGTATGCACACATGCATGCATAGTGTGGGACATGCATACTGTAAATTACGTAAACAGGCAGAGGCACAGGCAGCAGATGAATCACCAAGCAGCCTAACAGCCGATTAGCCTTCAAACATCAACTCAATCAATCTTTCAATCCACGGGCCATTTCGCCAGTAGCTCAGATGTACAGGACGTCCTTGGGCTTTTTATCTATTTGTTGTGGGCTTGTCCTGCACACAGCACACGCAACCACTCTCGGGAACAGCACACAGTAAGACAAAAGGAATGAAAATCGATAAATAAAGGAAAGCACCTCTGGGCTTGTGTGAGCTGCTGTAGGCCATTAAGCAGTAAATAATTCCAGGCAGCTCTGACTCTTGGAGCTTATGTGGGAAGACTGCAAATGACCATGAGAGAAAGAGGAGTGAATGAATGAAAAGAGAACAAACGTATGAGAAACTCATTTGTTCTTTTGCTCCCTTTTCATTCATTGAGGCATTAAGCAGCAAATAATTCCAGGTAGCTCTAATGACAGTCTTGGAGCTCATGTGGGACGACTGCAAATGACCATGAGAGAAAGATGAGTGAACGAATGAATGAAAAGAGAACAAAGGAACAAAGGAGTTTCTCATACCAATTTGTATGAGAAACTCTTTTTTTTTCATTCATTCACTCCTCTGTCTCTCATGGTCATTTGCAGTCGTCCCACATAAGCGCCAAGAGTCAGCGCTGCCTGGGATTATTTACTACTTAATGGCCTACAGCACCTCAAGAGGTGCTTTTCTTTATGGTGGCAATCGTGGCTCAAGAGTTGGGCGTTCGCCTTGTAAATCGGAAGGTTGCCGGTTCGAGCCCTGGCTTGGGCAGTCTCGGTCATTGTGTCCTTGGGCAAGACACTTCACCCGTTGCCTACTGGTGGTGGTCAGAGGGCCCGGTGGCGCCAGTGTCCGGCAGCCTCGCCTCTGTCAGTGCGCCCCAGGGTGGCTGTGGCTACAATGTAGCTTGTCATCATGAGTGGGTGGATGACTGGATGTGTAAAGCGCTTTGGGGTCCTTAGGGACCAGTAAAGCGCTATACAAATACAGGCCATTTATTTATCGAAGGAGTGAATGAATGAAAAAAGAACAAACCAGAAAAGAGAAAAAAGATGGCAAAGGTGGTAAGAAGACGATGGGAAATGGATGCAGGGATTTTCCAAGGGGTGCAGCTATGAGTCTAACACAGCAAGATACCAAATATGTTGAAAAACAAAAAAGAGAGGGGCGACAAATCAATGATGGGGGGGACACGCAAACCATAAATCCACATCTGTGCAAGATATTAGTGTCTCCTCTGACCCTGACAAGCACTCACCGTTTGATTGATTGTAAAGCAGATCGATATTTGAGTCTGCAATGTTTACAACAGCAATCAGCCAAGTGGTCCGATAGTCCCTTTGTGTGGGCTGAACGTACGCTCCAGTCTCAAATTAGATTTTTCACAAGTGCACATTTTGTTAAATAGAAACAGCCTGGCAATATCAGCCGTTCAGTTCAGTTGACTGAAATAGATCAATGACTATTATATTGATTGACAAGAAATTTTGCACAGGGTCACAGAAGTTGAATCTTAATGACTTTGCTGATTCTCTCCAGCACTTTCATAAAGTTGATAACTGTGATTGATGGTAAAATATATATAACTACATGGTGTGTACCCATGAAAAACAGCACATACAATTCCACAGCCACAATATTAAAAGAATCTCTCTAATATTGTGAATTTCCTCTCGTTGCTTCGAAAACACCTCTAACCCCTCAAGGCATCAGCCTCATAAGGTGTCCTGTGTGCCTAAAGCTCCTTTAGGTTTGTGTTCTTCTTTTATATAGGGTGGGGAGTCCATCGATCAAGCTTGTTTTGTTCCACGTACATCCCAAAGATGCTTGATCTTGTCAAGTGAATGTTAACCACCACAGTATGGAGCTGCTAGGATTAGATAGGTGGTAATGTCAAAGGAAAGTCAACAAAGTGTTCCCGAGGAGAACTGCCAAGAGCGTCAAGCTGTTGTCCTTCTCCACCCTTCAAGTGCATTTTGCTGCCATCAGCTAATGATGCACATGCACCTGGCGATGAGATACAAGAAAAAGTGATGCATGTATTTTGTGATGAGTCACATTTTGAGGCCATATTTTCCATTTCTTCACAGGCCAGCTCTGACACATGCAACACTGAGTTATAGTAGCTGTGGTGCAACCCATAGGTCAAAAAATACATTTTTAGAATACCTTGTTTTATATTTAAATACCTCCTATATGATGAAATCCCAGTCAGCTTCAGCTGCTCAACTAGCATTGCCAGCTGGATATACTTATGCCCACTAAAAGTGCTGGAGCTGGCCTCAGAGGGCCATCGGCATTACTGTACGCTCGTTGTCTTGTTACATTCTGGTGGATCACAGAAGCTTTCAAAGGCAATAACATTCAGTTTCGCTTCATTTTATCATGATCAAAGTTACACAGTCCAAGCGCATTAAACTGTCACATGCTATTAGTCCTTTAACTGAAACTTTATCAGTCCATCTGAGAGTGAGGAAATGTGTGGAAAACAGATGATAAAAACACCAACAGGGAAAGCAGTTGGATCATTTACAAAGACTATAGAGCAAGTCTGAATAGTGATAATGAACCGAACTCTGCAGTTTGTTATTCTATACAATGTTCTGTATACTTTGGTGCAAATTTTAAATCAGTATTGTGAAGCATACACCATTTTTGGAGACACTGGGGACATTTTGATGTGAAGGTGG